AAGAAACAAGGATGGGGGTAAAAGGGAAGGAGAAATTCTTTGGGTCAAACCAAGTGAGGCCAGCCAGGCCTGAGCACTATGCATGTATGTGTATGCACGTGCATGCACAGGTGAGCAAGTACCTATGACCAACTGGTATGCTACTCCATGAACATGCTGTAAGAAACTTGCACAGATTACAAAGCTATCAACTAGAGAGGTGAAATTGGGAGTACTGTTAGATTTCCTTTTGGAAAAAAGGTATTTGAAAAAGAATGCCACTCTGGAAACAGAAGAGTGCTGACTCAGGAGCAGACGCAAAGGGTGATGGCCTGGGGGACTGTGAAAGCCAAGAGGGATGGCATTCCTGGTTCCAGCCCCCCACTATGGGCCAGGTAGCATCTTACCTGAAGCCAAGACACGGAGGGTCTTGGCCACGCCCCCCCAGGGCGCGCCCAGTGCCACGAAGGCACGGATATACTTGTCTTTCCAGGCCTGTGGCTGCCGCTGCAGAAAGTAGAGTGTGTACATGTTGCCCATGCTGTGGGCAACCAGCACCACGGGGCCCCCATACAGCTGGTACATCTCCTCGATCATCTCGCGGAGGGCCAGGAAGTAGGGCCCGTTTTCATCTGCAGGCCAGAGCCAGGCAGGGGTCAGGTGGGAAGCATCCTAGGGCCTGAACCACTGACTGTTTCTCAGGCCAGACCCAGGACTTGGTGGATGGAGAGGGTGTCAACATCTAAATGGGAGCATCTGGTTTTCCCCCACATTGCATGAAGGGAGGAAGGAAAGGGACTCATTTTCTCCCCCTCAACTTTATTATCTCTCCCCAGGGCACAGAGGCCCAGAGTTCCTAGGGTGAGGGATCAGGGAAGAGGACAGAATGATCAAGAGAGGTGACTATGACCACTAACCCCCAGGGGTAGCCCACCCTTTCAGGCTCCTCTGAGCTGGATGCCAGAGGCCTGGGGATAGGGGAGAGCCCCAAGGTACAGGAGAACCCAGGATCAAGTGAGAGCCTAACCAAAGCCTATGGTGGCTATGACTACCTTGTCCCTGCCTCCCAAAACCTCAGAGAGGGAAAGAGGGTGACTGCTTACTTGGGGCTCGGCGCCAGTCATACGGGGCCCCTCGGACATCCTCACCCCGTGTATAACCCCAACCTACAAGGCTCTCCACCATGGTGTGGAAATAGGAACCTGTAGATAAAAACGCATAGGATTAGAGAAGACACAGCCAGTGCCAGCCACCCACACCACACCTGCCGCAGAGACTATGAAATCTAATGCAGGGAGGCCCTGGAGGAACACTATAAGGCTCTGCCGCTGCCCTGGTCAGAGACTGTTCATAGGCTATCCCCTTCAAATCAGCAGAGTTCTTCCAAGTCCAATCCAGGAGAACCCCCAGCCCTATCTCCAAAAGGCCCTGAGGAAGAGCTACATACCCACACTGCTTTTGCTAGGGTCCAGGAACTCCAAAGAAAAGGTCTTCCCAAAGCCAGGGACACGCACATCCACTCCATCAGGAGACTGGGTGGCTCTGGATGTTCTGTTGTAAACCAGCCTGTCAGAAGAGGATACTGAGCTGGTGACCCAAAGATGACATTGAGCTTGGTATGTCCCAATACTGCATTGTGTCCTGAGTCATACTTCCTTCCCACTCCAGGTTTGGTCAGATATACAGGGGAGACCAAAAAGTAACAAAACAGGTTTAGAAAGCACACATCAGAGGGACAGCGCCTGTGGCTCAAAAGGGTAGGGTTCAAACCCAGCCCCAGCCAAAAAAAAAAAAGTAAAGAAAGTACACATCAGAGTAACCACATCCAAATCTCACTCCTACCAAGTCTTACTCCAGGGCTCCTGTAAAGACAACAGTCCCTTCTCCAGAATGTCACCTACTCTAGAATGAGATCTCGCCTTGGACCTGGCTGGAAGAAGGCACTGCCATGAACTTCACACCTACTCCCCAGAGACAGCCTGCCATTTCAGGCTCCCACTGCTCCATCTCCACGGATCCACTGCCGCCAAGGAGATGATGAGTGCAGACACAACAAACCAGAAAGGGACCCTGACTCACGGCCTGCACCCGAGTATCTGCTGAGTGAAGGGTAGTGGGTGAGAGGATGGGAGGGTGGGCAAAGCCCAAAGAGATGATGCAGGTGGGTGAGGACAGGCAGGGGAAAGGCAGACCCTGGCAAATATAACTGCACTGGACACAGGGGCCAGCCAACCTTCAACCACAGCAGCCATGCAGGAAGGGAACAAACCAGGCCAATATGACTTACTCAGTATCCTTCAACCATAGAACGTGCCAGGCCGGGACCACAACACCCAGGGCTTGGTCAGCAAGTTCTTAAGGCCATGATATAGCACATGGCCTATAAGTTAGAGCCCTTTATTCATTTTCTTTCTTTTTTTTTGGCAGTTTGTTTGTTTGTTTGTTTTGGCCAGGGCCAGGTTTGAACCCGCCACCTCCGGTATATGGGGCTGGTGCCCTACTCCTTTGAGCCAGGGCACCACCCTATTCATTTTCTATTGCTGCATAACAGCAATAGAAAGCACAGATATACTTTGCATACTATACTACTTGCAACAAACTACTTCAGACTTAGCAGCTTCTAATACCACACATATTTTCCCCCTAAAGGGGGTGAAAGCAGCACCTATTTCATAGTTGCTATAAGACTAAATGAAAGAAAGGGTGTACAGTGTACAGTGCCTGTATTCAATCTGGGGACACAGCCTTGGAAACAATGTTGAGCACGTAGTTGCCATAGCTGCAGCTCAAAACAGAACCAGAAAAGAGAGTCCCCAACTCAGCGCTGAGGACATGGCTGCTATACCACCTCCTTTGGGAAGAGGATCCTGGAGAAATGATGCATGACAGGTGGGCAGAAACAGGAGAAAAGCCTTGTGGGGCTGGCCTTGCCTCACATTAAAGAAGCAAATGTGCCCCCCAAAACACAGGAACTAAAGCTTCTGATGGTCCTGACTCCCATCCCCCCCTTAAAGAACAGCCACAGAGAGCTGGCAGGATCCTCAGTATCTATCCAAATAATAGCTTATAGAGGCCCATTCTGTCCAGGACAACTTGTTGATTATCCCAATGGCTACCCAGCAAAGTGCAGAAAAGTGTTCTGGAAAGCCAAACCAGTTCTCTGCTGAATAAAACTCTAAACAGGTCAGAGAATCTACGAAGGCAGACTTGGCCCTCTCAGTGTCAGCCAGCACCTCCAACTGGCAGTACCTGAGGCCATGTTTCTAATACAGAAATAGAAATGTAGATCAACAGCCCAGAAATAACCCTATCACTCCTTTCACAGAGAAAGGAGTCAACAAAGCAGGCGTGGTAAACAACGGAAGGGCAGGGTGCCTGGGGAACCAGCTGGTGGGTCTCTGGGAAAAAAGTTGCATTTATGGGATTCCATTCAGCTCAAATATTGATTGGGTGACAACTGTGTTCCTATCTCTACCCTTATAAAGATAAAACAGAGACACAATCCTTCCCCTTTAGGGAGTTCAGACTAAGTAGGGACCTCAGCTGAGACCAGTGTTTTTCAACCTTTTTTATCTCACAGCACACTTGAACCTGTAGTCAAACTTCTG